TAATAATAAACTGTTCTTAGGGCTTTTGTTTCTGAGGTTAAGTTTATAAAATAAGTGTAATTGTCAGGATGCGGTGCAGAATCCAGAGGGAGGCGAGGAGCTTCAAATAAAACTGACTTATTAATTAAAACAAAAAGCTGRCGTGGCAGCAAAAATAACAAAAACTCAGGAGATACGGGGAAACAACAATGAACATCTAAACAGACGGGAATATGGGAATACCATACGATGATCCAGCATGGCTGTGGAGGACATGACCAGTATTTATACAAACAGAGGGAGAGAGGAAATGACAAACACCTGGAGGGAAGGCTGATTGGTGATCACAGACAGGTGAGGATGATTAACTGAGAAATGACAGGGAAACAAGCTGAGGAGAACTCAGAGGTGGAGACACAAAGAGAAACAGAACAACAGAAAACACAATCCTCACAGTAAAAAAATCAACAATGTTTATTTCTTTTGTTTACAGGACAAGATAACGTCAACGATGTCAGATGTTTCTACAAGCGTCCCTTCATTTGTGCCAAAACCCTACAAAAGTGCTCCACTTGTCCTTAAAAATGTGACACTGTCCCACTGAAGAAATGATTGGGGATTAGGTTTCCATAACTGATTTAATCACACACACATGGTATAGTTTTATGATTGAACTGTAAAGATTGTTAAATGTGACTGTTTTGCTTAACTGGATGATTATATATTAATGGCTACATCCCTGAAAACCAATTCAACACATAAGTGAACTTTTAAATCCTCATTAGAGTAGGTTTGTGATGTCTGAGGGGCATGGCTTCAGTAGAACAGGGACCCCTCCACTGATGACATAATCAAATAGGCGGAGCCATGCCTCGGAGCTGTTGTTAAATTCCTTGTTGTCGGCCTGAACTCTCAATGATTTCATTAAAGCAGACTTCAGCGAAGAGCGCTCTTGGTTTTCTGTGGTTCCTCTTCTATAATCTTTTCCAAGTATTTCTCCGTATGGTTACCCAGGTGAAAAAGAAGTATACTTAAGTTGTACTTTGTCTTGATGTATTTATTATATTTTAATTGTATTGTACTAAGTGTACACTAAATGTGTTATTTTGGAACAACTTACAGTATATTAATTAGTATTTTAACAATACTTAAACTCATCTTTTGTTAGGGTTTGTTTTATGAGTTCTGAATTAACACCGAACACCAAGGAAGTTTTAACAGATTTATTGTAAAACTGAATGTTAGCTGGAAACGGGAAACAAGCAGTCAGCAGGTCTCGGTTCTCTGGACACAGGAGAGTGGAATTAGTGTCAGCAGTGATACTAGGAATTTGAC